TTTTTTTTTTTTTTTTTTTTTTTTTTTTTTTTTTTTTTGGAATTTTCGCATGATTCATTAAAAAAAATAAAAAAAGAGTTCACTTCGTTCATGATCTCTTCAAAAAAAAAAAAAAAAAAATTATAAGAATGTTCTCTTCAAATACATGGCTATTTCAGATGTTCATTGATTTTAAATAAATAACTACAGCCAATTAACCAAACTAAAATTAGCAATTTTACACTAATTGGAAGTCTTAATCATTAATCATTGGAAACAAACATTAACATCAACTAAATAAAAGAAGGCAAAAAAATATAAACCTAGTGTGATCCTCTATCTAACTAGCTTAACATTTTTTAAATAAGAGACAAGTGTTTCAAATAGAGAGTCCAATGGATGATGAACAGTACTACGTAACTTGGAGTGGCCACTGAGAACAATAATAAGTGATCAAAGAGTTCAAAGGTCATATAAAGATGTCGAACTTCTTTGAAGACAGGAGAATCCTTCTCCTTTTCCAGCCTAGTTCAAAAGGAGAGCAGCGGGCAATACACAAAAATAAATGTGCGCATATGTGTGAACGTCAGATCCGTGTAAAGATAGAGTCCTCTCACTTAATGCATTGCTAGAGTTAGCAAACAAATAGAAAACAAGAAGACAAGTGTGCAACTGAATTTTCTGACTCACCAATGAATCAAGTTTTAGAGGCATAACAAAACGAACACAGATCTAGCCAAAGTACTGCCAAATTAAAATCAATCAAATTCCAACTACGACAATATCCACAATAAAACCTATGCACAGAACTCACAAAAGAAATACATCCATCAAAATCTAGACATCCAAAGAGTTAGAAAGAGTACTGGATAGAAGATTGGCCATTGCGGATAGAAGGCGTATCGGAATCGGCCGAGAGAGAAGCCTGAAGACCTTCACTGCCGCCGGAGAGAAGGAAAGCATTACCGACATCAACGAAAACCTCCTTATCATAGAAATGGATGGACGCATTACTCAGATTCACTGTAAGCGACAGTAAGAGTACGAACCAAACATACAAAAAGAATAAAGGATTTGAAACAGAAACAGATCTTTGTTTTGCGATATTCATGGCGACGGATCAAACGACAAAACGAGAACCAGAGAGAGATAAAAAGAGGGGCCGGCGTTAGGGTGAAAATCAGCAGATGAGATCGGAGGTCGATTGTAAGAGAAGCATTTGTCTCGGTCGGTAGGAAAGGGAATTTTACCACGCGCGGGACGCGCTCTCCATAAAGGAGATTGAGACAACTCATCCATATTCTATTAATTCAAAATTTTAAAGAAGCTAAATTTATAGGATATTTATATGCCACAAAATCCATTGTTGTAGAACATATAATTATATCGTAGCCTTTTTAATAATGTATTTTCTATAAAAAAAAATTATTATATATTTTGTTTTTAATGTCAAGTGCAATAATTAAAAATTGATTAATGTTAACTTTAAAATAAATAAACTTCCTTAAATTTCATATAATAGTAATTAATTAATTCAACTTAAAAAATGAGTAATTATAATAATTAATTTATAGGATGAAATTTTTATGTATTTTGTTTGACAAATATTTAAAAATACGATATAAAACTAACTAAATAATCAGTTTTGTTCATGCTTGTCTAGGGCGGGTTAATTGAGAGTGATTCAAACAACAGGAATCAGTGTAGGGAGTTACAATCATGCTTGTCTAGAGCGTGTTATTTGAAAGTGCGATTCTGACAACATACCTTGTCTGATGGGTGTTACGGTCATGCTTGTCTAGGGCATGTTATACCGTTTGATGGGTGTTATGATCATGCGTATCTAGGGCATGTTATATCGTCTAATGGGTGTTACGGTCATGTTTGTCTAGGGCGTGTTATCTAAAGTTGTGATTCTAACAACAAGCACTGTATGATAGGTGTTACGGTCATGCTTGTCTAGGGCATGTTATACCGTCTAACAGATGTTAGAGTCATGATTGTCTAGGGCGTGTTATCTGAGAGTGTGATTCTAAACAACATGCACTGTTTGATGGGTGTTACGATCATGCTTGTCTAGAGCATGTTATACCGTTTGATGGGTGTTGCGATCATGCGTGTCTAGGGCATGTTATATCGTCTGATGGGTGTTACGGCTATGTTTGTCTAGCACGTGTTATCTAAAGATGCAATTCTAACAACAGGCACAGTATGACAGGTGTTACAATCATGTTTGTCTAGGGCATGTTTACACCATCTAACACATGTTACGGTCACGTTTTTCTAAGGCTAGGGTGTGTTTTGAAGGTGCGGTTTTGACAACAGGCACGGTCACATCCCAACCCATAAAGCATGGTCATATAGAATATTTGCATTTTAATGGCATACACTTCACAAACCTTTCATATGACATTTGATAAGAAAGGGTGTTAAAACATTGTAATGAAAGACAAAGAAAGTGAAGCAGATTGGTAAATATTAGAATGGTGTAAGCCATTGAATTTCCATCTCTGTATCCCACAAAATTAGCAAGAATATCAGGTTCGGCTGTTGAACTAAGAAACTTCTCTCTTACCCTCTCTAAAATATCGGATCCCCTTCAACAAATCACCTTCTGCCAGATCCTTTCAAATCTCAGTTATGGGTTCTCCACAAAACTTCCACCAATTTGGCTTCTCTCCCTTCCTTCTTTCCTTGATTCTGAAGTAGCACAGGAATATAAGCACTGGTGCGGGGGAAGGAGCCTTCTTTTAGAATAGGAAATGAATTTAGATGACATAGTTTTGAGGAATGTGATGTCTGTGGAAGAAGCAGAGCTGGTACATAATAATAACCCTTCCTCTTCACCTCCTGCCTCAGCAGCAGCCACGGCTTCGTTGTTTCTCGGGAAAAGGGCTGGTGATGTCGAGCCACAGCCCGATCTAATGACCGAGGTTTCAGCCTCGACAGAAGGGATGGAATGGATGCATTACCAACGAGCATTACTCATTGATTCCAAGTTGCCAGCTTCTCAAGCTGTTTACAATAATCATGGGAGTGTACCAGATATTGGTGTTTACAATTTGCAGGCAATGTCGATCACGACATCCGCCTCGTCAAACTCCGATTTCCATGAGGGTAATTCTGGACGGAAACGAAGACAATTGGATGATATAAAGGAGAAAACTATTGAAAGAAGGCAGAGGAGAATGATCAAGAACCGTGAGTCTGCTGCAAGGTCCAGAGCCAGGAAACAGGTAAATTCATGCATCTATCTTTCAAGTTTCCATCAAACACAGGAAAAATAACAACATTTTTCGTGATATTAATCATACGTTTGTTCATTCTTCGTTCGTTCTAATCCTCTAGGCTTATACGAATCAGTTGGAGCATGAGGTGTTATGCTTGAGGAAAACAAATAGTTGGCTGAGAAAGCAAGAGGCAAGTTCATCTAAACAGAGTCATATTTTCAACAAAAAAACACAGCTGAGTGAATCTATTTGATTTAAGAAACTGTAGAATCCTTTTATTTTTTCAGGAAGTAGAAAGAATGTTCTTGTCAAATCCAATTCCAATGCCTAGATATCAACTGCGGCGCACAAGCTCAGCCTTCTTCTAGCTTTTTCTCTTCACAAGCACACCTCTCTCTATTCTCTTCTCTTCTCTTCAAGTTTTTTCCTAGATAGAAGCTTTTACTTTCTTAGTTCTTTGTGCTTCATGTAGAGCAAATATTCTGATAGCAAACCTATCTGGTTATGATAACAATGCAGCTGATTTCCTACCCTTTTGCCTACTCATAACTCATGCCACTAAAATTTTAGGTATTCCTCGTGTTCATCAGTGATATCAGATCCAGATTACATCAGAAGGCAAGGATCTTATAGAGGAAAAGAATACACAAATCATGATCATTTTATTTCTTTTTCACTGTACAAACAAAGGACACATACAGAATCTGACTCATTGAATAGGAACTCAACAATATAATACACTGGCAGTAATACTTGAATCATATAGTCAGAAGGGGCGACTACGAAAGAACAAGAACAAGAGGTATCGATGAATTTAACTTACACAAACAAAATTGGAAGCTTTGTGGAAGCGATGTTCAACTCCCAAACAGTGTCCAGCTTTTGTCTGATCACAGCAGAATAATGTCAAGAACCCAACTAGATTAATGCACTCCAGACAGCCCCATTCCCTTCACCACACTTTTCGTGGACATGCTTGATCCTCTCAACAGATTTGCATATTCCACTGCAACTCCAGTCAAATGATGCAACGCATACATTGCCTGCTTGTGCCTTCCACTCACAATCTGCAAATGTTTTGTCTTAGAAGAGAAACCAAGCTTTGCAATAAAGGAAAAAGAATTTGCATAAATGGGGTTTGGGAAATCGTTTGTTCTTTACTTCACAATCGTCCATATATAAGTAAAACATTACCAGGTGGCGTCCCGCAGCACATGTTACGGTCGTCTATATGCTCGACTTCAAGGCCTATTAACCAAGCACCAAGGGACACATCTTCATTGGCATACTTATGCAAAATTGGCCTGCATCACAAGTTTCAACTCTTTGAATTAAACTCACATCATCAAGAAGTGGGGACAAGTTAATTATATGAACAAAGTTGAATATATTAAGAAACTTATCTCATGTTGATGCAAGAATGATTTTAATCAAAGATGTGGCTAAGATGATGTGTTTACTTTACATAACTCTAAATGCAAGCAGAAACGCTATATCCTTACTCATTGGCCGCCATGTAGGTGGCTAGATCTTTCGAGATTGCGTAAATCTGCCCAGTTGCATGTCTGAAATACTTATTTCCCTCCTCTCCAAATTTCCAGTGTTCAGGTTCATGGTATTTGACACTCCTGTGGTATAAAGAAAATGCAAAATTATCATCACATATCCTTTTTAAGAATGCACAAAACAAACAAAAGAATGATATCAATGTGCAAAAAAGGGAAGAAATGACAGAGACAATCAATCTGCAATGAACATGATAGATAGACAGTCCATGATAATTACTTGGAAGAAAGAACAGGTCCAGATTTCATGCACCCGATATAGACTCGGGGCTTCGAACGGTGGTAAGCAAGAGTAGTAGCTAGCATCCCTAGATGAGAAAGAATTAAGAAACTCAATCTTGATAAGTGGATATTTAGTTTTCACAGAAATTGAAGGAATAACAGCTTAAAAACGTGAAACATACCTAAATTTACATGGACATCATCATCTATCTTAACATAGAAGTCAGCATCCCATCGAGCAACGGCAGTGGAAAAGAAGGATTTTGTTTTTGCAGACAATTCGTGATACCCTTCGATATGTTCCTGAACATGATGATCCAGTTTACAAGCTGAATGTCTAATCATTCCTTGTTATCATAATTACTCCATGTAAATTCTCATACCAGCCTAAGGAAATCTTTGTGCAGGGCATCTTCTGAATCAATTGCACGATCCAAAATGCTGTTGGAAGTTGCGCTAATCAAGCGAAAATCAATGAGGTTAGTTCCATTGAAAACAAGGAAGCAATACCAAACTAGTTATATAATGCATCAAGATTAAACTGCACAAATATAAAAGGACCAGTTCAAGGGAGAAAAGACTAGAACGACTTCCACATAACAAGGCTACTTCCTGAACAAGGAGATATAAACAATATGTTCATCACAATCAGAAAGGCCAGTCTAAGTTTAGTTCTCATTGATACTCAAGTACTCAGAAAAAGAAGGTGAAAAGAGAAAGCTGGTAGATTGACAGTTCTTGCTGCCTTTGTAAAAGAGAACCACCAACAAAGAACTTGTATGGCCCATCTATTAAAACAGAGTTTTGAGTGACAAAAAGCAATCCAGAAACTGTCCGTATCAGATTGTAAAACAGAGAGCCGTACCGTCTTGTTGTAACAGCCTAGGTCCACTACTAGTAGATATTGTCCTATTTGGGCTTTCCCTTCCGGGCTTCCCCTCAAGGTTTTAAAACTGTCTCCTAAAAAGAGGTTTTCACACTCTTATAAGAATGCTTTGTTCCCCTCTCCAACCAATGTGGGATCTCACAATCATCCCTGGGCCCAGTGTCCTTGATGACACATCATTCGATGCCTGACTCTAATACCTACCATTTGTAACAGTCCAAGCCCACCGCTAGCAGATATTGTTCTCTTTGGGCTATCTCGAAAGAGAAAACCCAAAGAGAACAATATTTGCTAGCAGTGGGCTTGGGCTGTTACACTTGTCGTAGTATAGCTTGCAAGTTCGCCACTTGAGTTCTACGTTGGACCATCTTATAAAGTAAACAGACCAGCACACAACACTTCTTAGCGTGGAGAAGAAAAGTTTCTGCTTGTTCTATAAGTTTACACCCCCATCTCATATAATGTGAAAATGACCATGAATCAATTTTTAGTTTCTACTGCCTTCCTCTACACCCTTCATTAAAAGAAGAGGAACTTTAAAGCATTCTTCAAAATTTCCACACGTTTGGTTAAATAGTCAAAGAGTAAAGCTTTCTCAAAACACCCAACACATTAAGATGGCCTTAAAAACATTTAATCTCTGCTTCTCCCAGCATCTAATTTCAAACAAGTAGCTAGAGCCAAATACCCCACAAGAAACGCAAATATACCTATGGCCAATCATAAACCGAACCACAATCCCCTTCTCTCGCTCCAACTGGAACAGCTTTTCCCCTGACCAAACATCAAGCTATGTTTTAGCAGAAACATAACGTTAAATGATCAAAATGAGACATAAGAACAGTAGGTAGGACCAAGATACCTCGAGGCATCCATGTCTCTCTGACCGAATCGCGACGTCTTCGGCTACTAAAAGCTGTGTTTATCCCAATCACCATTAACATTTTCTTCTTCGGCAGGCTGCCTTTACCAGAGGATTCAATAGCTGGTGTGTAGCTATCAAAGGAATGCATCTCCGGGGAATTCTTAGCCTCCACCAAATCCATGTTAAGCATTGTAATTTTCTTGTCCAAAGATCTGTACACCTCCACAAATTTGTTTCACTGTTAAGCCAAAGCGGAAGAATGAGGAAACGAAAAATTGGAAATAAAGAAGAATTGCACTAAACTGGATTGCTTCGTGAGTTCTATAGACTGCAGTGATCACATCCCTTTTTTCCGCTGGCTTCAAAATTTCCAAGAAAAAATAAATCAGACTAAACAGGCAACAGAATGAGTCGTAATATGTCAAACACTCACCATCTTAATCGAGCTATCTTCAGAGACGATTTGAAGTTCCTGCTCATGTCGACGACGGGAGATGACCTGACCATCAGATTCCGGCACCAACCATAACCTACTGCAAAACCCAGAAATCCAAACCCCCCGATCAACAAAAAAAACCCTATAAAAACAGAGAATCACAACAAATCGAAATGAGAAAATAGAAACCTGTTCGTGGCGATCATACCGAAAAGGAAGAATGAGAGACAAAAGAAAGGAATCCATATCACAGAAATCTTTCTAGTGCCACGGTTCTTCATTTTCCGGCTAGCTGTGGACGAGCAGATGAATTATCAGAAGGATTTATAGGGTTAAGGAAGAAAGTGGAATCGAATTGGGATTTCTAGAGGTCAGAGTGTCAACGGTTAGGCTGCGGAAGGAAGAATTGAGCGCCATTTTGCTGCTCTACGCTAATCACGCCATAATTACAAACCTCCCTGTTCATCCCTTGGTTCTAATCTAATAAACTCCCGTCTCTGTGTTTATGTTGTTACTAATCTTGATTATTTTTTTTTTAATTTTAATATTCATACGATAATGCTGACGTGGAATATACAACCAATTTGCCCAATAATTTATTTCAATTGGCTGATTTAAAAAATAGCCTTGAAATGGTATTTGATTTATTATAATAACCTGAAATTAAAATAATTTTGAGTGTTGGAGTAAGATAGCAAGAGGATATTTTCTATAAGGAGTTTGTTTTTAATATTGTATTTTCAAATTATAGCAAAAATAATATTGGTGGTTCGAGTGAGGATCTAACCAAATAAATATGTTATATCATAAACTCACTTTTAATAGATAATCGAGAAATAGTAGAGGAGACATTTGTCCGTGTGAACTAAATGGATTCGAGGATCCATCTGTCCTATAAAATATATGATATGAACCAAGACATCGACCATTCATTATTTGTCATAAGATCTTATTCTCGATTGGATAATTATGTCTATAAAGTATACACGGCTTCTAATTACAACTTTTGGAATGCTTTGGGTTAGGTTAAAGGCGGCATGCCACGAAAGATGTTGGGCCTCCAAAAGGAGTGAACTGGGAGGTCCCATATCGATTGGTGAAGGGAACGAGTGCGAGCTAAGACGCTCGGCCCTTAAACGGGTGGACTGTGAGATCTTATTAGAAACCTTTCCCTTACATACACATTTTAGAAATTTTGAGCAGACCATATCTATTAAGTTTAAACAGTTAACTAGTAGGTTTAGAACCAAGTTTAACATGATGATCTGAGTTCCTTACCCAGTAAGATCAAACCTTCCAACTCCGACTCCTCGTAACCAAATCCCTGCTCTCTCTGTTCTCTTCCTCCATTAGCCATTTCAAGCTCTTCTTCACCTTGACCTCTGTGTCTTCTTCCTCCTCTGAACATGCTTCCTCCACCCAACTCTTCGCCGGAGCAGACCTGCAGCGCATAAGCAAAAGCGCGTTTCTGGGCGGCGCCATCGGCGGCCCAATCGATGCATCATCAACTGTACAGAGACCGTTGCCGTCTCTCCGGACCCCACTTCCCTGTAAAACCATGAACCATTTAGAAAACGCCGTTCTGGAGCCATCGCTCCCCTCGACACCCACTTCCTCTTCTTCCTCGTCTTCAGAGGTGAACTCTGCTTCAGGGAAAGCTCCGAAACACCCAAAATCAAACCGAATGCTCCGTAAACACGTTAAGAATTGCATTATATCCTTCTTGAACCCTAAAGATTCGACCCAATTGAACCTCCTCCGCCGTAATTCCCTCCTATTATGAATTCTCTCTATCTCCTCCATCACCGATTCCCAGCTCTTCCTGCTCTTCCGCCTCATCTTAATCTGCCCTGCACAGGTCACTTTCGGCGACGACGGTTCCGACACCTCAGACCCCCCTATCGTCTTCGCTTTGGCCCAAACCACCGGGCTCTCCGCCGACTTCCTCCGCCGGTGATAACGGCGGAGCTTGTTCGAATCAGACGCTCTGACAGGACTACAAAGTGGGTTTGGCATTAAAGCGAAATGCGAGCGAGAAGGGAAACAAACCAATAAATCCGGTGAAGGGATCGCTTTAATGTCTCTAATTAATTTCATGGTGTCCTAGAAAGAGGAAGATTCTGGCATTGGAAGGTTTGGGATGTGGGGTTTTTAAGGACAATTTTTACAGAGGAAACAGAGGAAGAAGAAGAAGAAGAAGAAAGGTGAGTCAGGATCTGGTGTTTTGGACCCCTACTGCTTTTTGTTGGATGCGTGAGAGGTTCTGCTTTATTATCTGTAAAATTTAAGAACACTCCTTTTTGCCTGCCTGAGATATAGAAAAAGGTTAAGGATTAAAGAACAGGCGGGGCTGCGGTTCTTGTAAAGAGGCACGAGGCTTGTTGTATAACCCAATCATTCACCCAACTTGGCGAGCCCACGCCATAAAAAATGGCCTTCCTCTCGCTCAGTCGCACTCACAGTCACAGTCACGCGTTGGAAGAGTCTAAACCCGACCCAACAGATATTGTCTACTTTTACTTCTCGGTAGTCTAAGCTCACATCGAGCAGATATTATCTTATTCTGACTTGTTATAATACCATTTATATCAGTTTAAGCCCACAACCAATAGACATTATTTACTTTAATCTGTTATGTATCTATGTGTCTAGCATCCCTTTTGAAACTTGTCTCTTATACATTTGTAATAACTCAAACACACTCTTATATTTATTTACTTTGACTCGTTACGTATCGAGGGAGTCCAGCATCCTCGCTAGTACATCGTTCGAAACCTGACTCTAATATCCTTTGTAATAATTCAAGCACACTGCACTTTGACCCGTTACGTATCGCCGTTAGCCTCACGGTTTTAAAACGCGTCTACAAGAAAAAAGTTTTCACACCCTTATAAAAATGTTTCATTTCTCTTTCAAACCAATGTAATAACCTAAATTTACTGCTAGCAAAGTCTATTTAGTCTGACGATTTTAAAACGCGTCTCACTGCTAGCAAATTTTTAAATGTTTGAATAACATTCTTAAACTTTAAAAAAATTCTAAAAAACACGAAAAAAACTATTAGAACACTTTTAAACTTTTTTAAAAACTTTAAAATTAAAATATATATATTATTACAGCATTTCAAAAATATTCATAAATTTTAAACAGTAACATTAAAAAATTTGGAGAATAACCTTGAGGTTTCTATCTATTGTATTCGTTCATATATTAACAATATAATAATAATAATAATAATAATTTTTTTTATAACTATAAAAGGTGTTGATGTTATTTTTAAAATTTCGACCGTACTAACTCTAAGAGTGATTTTAATTTTTTTTAAAAGTTAAAAAGTATTAATAAAACTCTTTTAAAAATATAAAGGTATTTTCAAAATTTGAGAGTATTTTTGAAATAAAATATTAATTATTTTATTAAAAAAAATAGCATATATTTTTTTAATTTAAAATGTATTATTTAAACGATATTTTTATTAATTTAGAATAGAGTGGGCGTTGGAAAGCAAAGCAATTGGGTGTTAATTTGTGGTCACAAATTGGGGCCTACTCGTGACTCATGACCATTCACGGCACTTTAAAATTTAATGAAATATGGTTGTTGTCGTCTATTTACTTTTATCTTATAATATTATTCTTTTTTTTAATTGTTTTCAACGTATTTTCTAACTCACGTTTTCTAAACTATTTCTCTCAAACATGATTCGAGGTTCGAGCTTATATAAACATTATCTATGCAGTCTGAATTTCTCACGACTGACTTGTTCGCTAGGTTAGAACAAGCTTTATCCTATTACTATAAAAGTGCAATTGTAATAATTTCAAATATGTTTATTTAATTTGTGGGACGAGTACCATAACATATTTTTGATAAAAATCTCTATTCATAAAAATAAATAAATAAAATCTTATTTGGATATCTCTAAATATGTGAGATCACAGGCACTTTACATAAAGATATTTTCTAGCGGTGGGCTTGAGCCAAAATAGACCATATTTTATAGTTGTAGCCTTTGGACTATTACAAATGCTATTAGAGCTAGACATCGAGCTGCGTGTCAGTAGAATAGATATTTTCTAGCCGTGATTCCTAACATGTCATCAGAGCCATAGTCTAAACTTAATCATGTCAATAGAATCCTCAAATGTTGAACAAAGAATTGTGAGTCTCGAACATGTAGTTAAAAGTGACTAAAGTGTCGAACAAGGGGTGTATTTTGTTCGAGGGCTCCAGAGAAAGGAGTCGAGCCTCGATTAAAGAGAGGCTATTTGAGAGCTCTATGAGCCTCAAAGGAGGCTTATAGTGTACTTTGTTAAAGGGGAGGATTATGGAAGATTATTGTGAATGAGTCACACATTGGTTAACTTAGTGTAAGATTATGAGTTTAATAGTAAATAATATTATCTCCATTGACACGAGGCATTTTGGAAATTCTAAATCAAAGACATTAAACCTTATACTTTAAACAATATTATACCATTTTGGAGAGTCTGACCTTGACCTTGATGTGGTGTTATTGATGTGGTGTTATGCCATCCCCAACTCCAAAATGTAAATGATTGTCGTTTACATCATTCAGTCCTGTATTGCATTTCTCCTTTGTTATCGATTCTGTATCCTCTCCGTGCAGATTGAGAGGCATTTATAGAGACATGGAGGCAGATTCGAGCAGAATGAGGCGTATTCCCGTTCCTGCTATGGCGCAGTAACTGTATACTTCTTTTTTTTTTTTTTCTGGAGTTTTGTATTGGAACAATGTTTGATTGCATTTTCAAGTTCTTCGGGAGAAATCCGGGGACATCGGTAGCTTACTCGTTCTTGATCGGACTGGCCTGCCAATTCGGAATTTGATAACATGGTCAAATAAGACTAACCTCGCGATACCTGTAATTCTTATCAAGATGTGTGTGAAGCTTATCCTAGGAAAGGTTGGGCTCTGTCTGATCCAAATCGATTATCGTGCTTCCAGATACATAATCCATTAGCATCGTTTCAGTGGAATACTTTTAATGTAAGCAACTAGTTTGAAATGAGAAATTTGCTACATGATTATTAGCAGATTAACTTTTGGAGGTGATTTTCCAGGTGTTGTACCCTAAGTACGGGTAGGCTTCTTTTTGTTTGTTTGAAGTTTGGTAAATCATCCTTACTCGGTGGAATGTATTTTTTGCCTAAATCCAAAACTCACTAGTGTGGATGACGGAGAGAAAAAAGAACTCAAGTTACTCATTTGCCAATTTTTCTTAACTTTTCCATTAAGGATATGCTGTCCTTTGGATGGATCGACGAGTGGGAAATACTTTCAATGAACATCGTAGCATATTTCCTGGCCCCTTGATTCTCTCTCTCTAAGGTTATACTTCGATGCTACCCTGTTCCATGTAGCTCAACACTTCAGGGGCATAGAAGGAGAAAGCTTCTCAGCTCTTTTCATGGAGTTGTTTTCTTCTAAATGGCTTTTGCCTTGTGATATGTCTCAGAATTTTTGGGGTGTCTTAACTTCCGATCATATTGCATTTTTCAGGTGACACTCACAGAGGAGCAGATCTCTTTCTTTCACTTCTTAACAAATGTATGCGCCATAGTTGGAGGTAATTTACAAGAGTTATTTGAACCTCAATCAGTTGATAAATTTTACCTAAGGTTGTAGCAGTGATTTAAATCCCCAAAAAACATGCACATTCCTTCGCTCTTTCTTCGTATAATCATCTGCTAGAGGGATGCTCTTTCTTCATATAATCTACTAGAGGGATACCTGTTAAAAATCACAACCTTTCCAATAAAACAATATTGTTCACTCTGAACGCTCATGTTTTTTTATTTTAGAAAAATAGAAATAGTATTTATTATAAATTCATGATCCTCTCATAATTAGCCATTCTAGAAGTATTTTCCTAACAACCCTCGACAAATTTCTGGTTGAAAGAGGAGAGTATACAGGTTAATAGGTTAATTATAGGATATCTTTGGTCCATATTACGAAGTTGAACTAATCATTGTTTTACTGCAAATATTAGACAACAGTAACAGACCAATCAAAAAATGGTTACAGTTACTGCAACTGAAGAAAGAAAAAAGAACACCAAAATTAAACCATATCATGGTCTACCAAGAAAAAAACCAGCTGACCATGAACATTTTTACATGATATTGACACGATGCCCATTTAAAAGAATTTGACCTTGTGTCTCTGCCTGCAACCTCAAAAAAAATCCGTTGCAGGTGCTGCTGAAGATTTCGATCGAATTATTGAGGTAAGATTGATGCCCAATCTATCTCAGAAGGATATTTCTCTAGCATTGAAGTCTCCCAAGCTAGATTCTGATCCCATGGCAGCTCTGTGAAGTCAGGAAATGAAAGATCTGATAAAGGTGAAGACGCTGCAGACCCGTCGCTCTCTGTCACAGCCCGCGACGAGGAGTTCTCCACCTTCACAGCTGCTATGTCTGCGATAGAGCAGGATTGGGACCTTGACTTCTTAGCTGCAGTAACAGGCTTCTTTGAGTTGCCTTGTTTCTGTGGCTTGGCCAAGTTATCACAAATTGCTTGGAGCTTTGCATCAACTGAGGAATGTAGAGGGTTATACTCGCCGAATTCGCCTTCAACGCAGGAGCCTTGGTGCTTGAGGTGGGGGAAATTAAGTCTGGCAGAGTCACCTCGGAGCTTGAAGGCAGCCTTGTCATATGCCAAGGCAGCTTCTTCAGCAGTGTCAAAGGTACCGAGCCAGAGCCGAGTTCTGTTCCTTGGGAGTCGGATCTCGGCCACCCATTTTCCCCAATGCCGTTGCCTGACCCCTCTGTAAAGCTTAGTGGGTTTTGAAGACGAACCCACTTGCTTCATTGGGGTCGACTTGGGGCTGAGGAAGTTGGGCGTTATTTGTTCATAGCAGGGTAGTGGTTGATGGTTTTGATGCGCCAAAGCTAAAGGCAGTGGGGTTTGGTTTTGAAGAAGATTGATTTGAGGTTGGGAATGAAGGTCTTGAGGTAATGATAACTGATGGGGTCCAATTGCGAATGGCTGTTCAAAACCAACGAGGTTTTGGGTCGAGAACCCATCTGAAAATTCTGGGTTCATCGAAGTGGAGCAGCCATTTGAGTACAAAGTGGACTGTTGAGGGGCAGAGTGAGAGAAGCTGAGGTGGTCGTTGGTACAGGGAGGGAGATATGGTGCTGGTGATGAAGAAGAAGAAGATGGAAGATTTGTAGAGAGAGAGGAAGCAACTTTCATAAAAGGTAAAATCGCTTCCATTAGTTCACCACCAAAGTGGTCTGTTTGAGGTCCTTCATTGTAGAAATCCATGGCAGTTACCATTACTTCAATGGTCCGCCAAAAATGAAATGACCCCAAAAGGAAAAGGGGAAAAAAAAAAAAAAAAAAAAAGAAGTATCTCTTTACAGATGAACCTGATTCTTGTTAAAATAGAAAGAACAGGCCACCACTGAAAATATCAAAGAGGTCCGTAAATAGACAACCCCTTCAACTCTAGAAGGAAATGAAAAACAGAAGAAGAAGAAGAAGAAGAAAAGGAAACCAACCTTGAGGGACTAAATTCACCCTCCATGCTGATTGACCATAAGAAGAAAAACAAACGAAGTAACCTAAAGAAAAATGGAAGAAAACACACACACACACACACACAAATCCTGGATCTCTGAGAACACCTGCCTTTGCACAATCCTAAGTTTGGTTATTGTTCATTCCCGAAAAGACAAACCCAAAACCCAGAACCTGAAAGAAGATATAATGAACAGAAAGGGATTCAGATAAGCAGGGAGTTTCAGAGGGGGGAAGAAGAAGAAGAAGAGGAAGAAGAAGGAAGTTCAAACTTGAAACAGAGTTTCTTTTGGTTTTTAGCCATTCTGAACTCTCACTGTCTCTCTGCCTACAATGCCTATTCCCCACGAGCAGCCTCCTATTTATAAGCCTCTAATGCCTGGAATTCACTTACCTTAATCACGGCGTCGTTTCGTTTAATAATCTCAGTTATCCGCCGTAACTTAGCTTCATAGTTACGCTCATCATCTCTGATTCTCCTAAAAGTTTCGCTGACCAAAAAACTCTCGTGTTCACACTTACTGACAAATATCTTAACTCTTTCATTTGCTTTGTAGGTAACGATTCATCCCCCTTCTCACTATTCTTGATTCTTCAAATCCTGTCCGTTGGATATCATCGGCATGAAGCTGGTGGATGGCTGTGATTCAATTACTCAACCTGGGAGCCCACACGGTTTTCCAAGCTTTGTGTCAGTTTTTTGGATTGCATCCTGAATTTATTAGCAAGTGGGCAAACGGGTAAGTGGAAATTTTGAATTCTCTATTTTAATTGTGTAATTATGAGGCTTAATTCTTTCACTAATTGTTCCTAATGAATCGGCTCCACATTCCACCCACTAATTATGATTATAGTAAAAGTTAATTATTATTATTATTTTGTGCTAAATATAGAATTTACTTCCGGAAATAACAACATGATTATATGATTATATGGGTGGATGAAATGTTCTCGTGGGTTGATTCAGGAGAACATTTGACAAATTTTATAATAAAGTTGATTGTTGATATGATGCTTAAATGGTGAGAACGTGCATTTATTATGCATTGAATAAGATAATTGGAATAATAAAAGAAGGTTGGTCAATGTAGCTGTTTAAACGTGTCTACGAGTCACGATGCTGGAATTTTCCCAGGGAGCTACAGCATAGTTGGCTATCATAGAGAGGATTTAAAACATGGTACTTCAAAGCTGTGTTGAGCCATTATTTGAGGCCACAATATATCAATTATTGTTTCCATTCTTAATTTGGTCTTGAATATATATAGGATGGTTTGAAAGAAGTTTAGGTGGCTAATTTAAGGAATGATAATGAGTTTATAAATAAGAAATAATATCTATTGGTATGAGATCTTTTAGAGAAGTCTAAAACATTATTATGAGAGTTTATATTCATAGTAGACAATACCGTATCATGGTGGGATTCATGATTCCTAACAATATATATAAAGAAAATTAGTATTAGAAGTACACTTCTTGCTCTTCTAAGATTATGTTTAGACAATTATATTGTTAAATAAATACAACTCTCTCCTATGATATTGTCCACTTTGAGCATAAGTTTTTCATGGCTTTGCTTTGGACTTCCCTAAGAGGCCTCATACCAATTGAGATAATATTTCTTGATTATAAACTCATGATTATTCCCGGTGGACTTTCATCCAATACATATAATTCAAATTAATTTATAAATTATATATTTTTTATAGTTGAGTAATTATGCTAGTATAAAATTGAATAGTCAACTGAATAGTAAATGAGAATATTTGAATGGGGTGATTTGTAAACAATATCTTGGAAATCAATTAATTCTGATTGTGGTTTTAGTAAAATGATTCTCTCAAATCTACTCCAAAGTTTAAAGAGAGAATTTTTGGGGCCACGAATTTAAGAGATAAGTGATGATGATGATTTGGAATCCAACGGCTGAGATTAATGCAAATATGGGGGGCCATGCAGTCGCCGGCGTTGAATTCAAAGGAAGGCGACCAACGGGCGACACGACAGGGAAAGACTTTTGGAATTTGGAAGGAAAACTTAACCGTGGTTAATTCTTTGAGAACCATAGTTAAAGTCAGGTTACGGAGGGAAGAATAAAAGTAGGGGTAGAAATGGAACAGAACACGTGCGTGGGGGAGGAAGCTATTGGGCTCCGGCGCCTGATCCTGCAGACTGAGCCGTGGGTTTTACTCATGTGAACTGACCCACGCGCATACCACCTCAGTGCGTGGGACAAGCGATGGCGCGATGATGTGAAGACCACGCGCTCAGTGCAGCGTCTGAAGAGAAAGAAACGGGAGAGGATGGGAATTGACCAAATTAGAGCTGAGAGAGAGGGAGGGAATCTGGAGTGGACATTGGAGCCATGTTGAACGGGACGAGGGTAATATGGAGACTTCGTAGATGTCGGTCACGTGCCTGCCAGTCTGCGTATATGACAATCGATGAAGGCGCCCTTCCTTTGTCTCTTCTCTTCTTATTTTCTATTGTTTCTTTGTTGCTTAAATCATATACGACTAAATAAATTTTTTTTTTTTTTTTTTGTCAGTTAAAATCCTTCATTTCAATAAAAAGACAGGAAAAAGAAAAGGTCATAGTTCCTTATTTATCATTTATATAAGATTTTAGATTAATCTCACATACAACAAATCTGCTTAGATGAATTATCAAAATGCTGTTAGTTACTTTACATCAACGACTACATAAACAAATTAATTCATTAGTACTATTATTTTGAACAAAGTTTTGACCAAAAAAGATGAGAATATTAGGGAATACGGGTAGAAGAGTATAGAATAAGTGCAGTTTCAAACAATTTATTTTAGTGAATCTGTCCATTTAAATGATAAATATAGACAAATATGAGACCAATGAATAGGAAGACCCAGCATCAAGGCATAATTCCAAGGATCTCTTTTCGTAGTAAATAAAAGTATCAAATAAAAACAAAGATGGTAGAGAAAAGCTACAACCAAAGATTCGAGTTTACCATTTAATCCAATTCAAGAATGAAAGAAAGAAATTATCTATCATTTAGTTAAGTAAAACGAAAGAAACACCTACAGATTGGCTTATGGATCCAACAAGAATAAGCGAAGCAAAAATGAAATTCCTAGAAAAGAAAAAGAAAAAAAAAACAAAACTTCGCAATTTTGTGATGTTAATTAGTTTGTGCTATTTTGAACTATTGGATTTGCGATTTCAAGCTTCACTAGATTCTCTTATTTGTTCTATGCAGGCTGAATTTCTCAACTTCCGTATACAAACACTGTGCCTATGCTCTATTATCACTTTTTCGGACCCATACACAAACTGTTGAAAGGGAGGGTTATTTACAGGTAGAAGACTGGTTCCAGGCATGGCATTAAATCATGGAGTCCAAATACTTATTATCACGTCTCCTGTTGAACTCTAATAAGCTCCCGTAGGTTCGATCAGACACGCCAACAAACAGAGATTCAGCATCTGGGCTGAAGCATATGCCCGCTATTTCTCCGAACATATCAATCTCTTGCCCTTCAATATAACCAGATTGGGAATCAAAGATGTGGACAAAGTCTGCTGGCTCCGCCATGGCCACAAATCTACCATCCGAGCTGAATTTTACAGCTCTTATAGCCCCCATCCTCCCTTTAAGAACAGCCATGGACTCCGACATTTTCCTCACATCCCACAGCCTACAGGTTGTGTCTTGGTTTCCCGTGGCCAAAATATGCCCATTTGGGTGCCATGCGGAGGTGAAAGAGTAGTCAAGGTGCCCTTGAAGGCACCCAATAGCCTGTTCAAACCTACCATTTAGTATTCTACTATTTCTATTGCCCCTTTCCATTCTCTTCCTAAATCGATTGATGCACAATAATATCCACTGAAAAGGCAAGGCAAGGCAAGAAATACTCACTCGGCCAGAATTCGCATCAGTGATCAAGCAACCTGGACTGTCCCCAAGAACAGCAAGCAACTTGCCATCAGGGCTGACGGATGTGTTCTGTATGAGAACGGTGTAAGGGCACAGTATAGACCCTCGAATTATCAAAACAGTAACAAAGAAGAACCGACTGGAAGGCACTCACATTTACAGACCAGTCGAACGGGAAGCAGCCAAGGGAAGAAAAATTCTCGGCATCGTAAATCCTGACTTTGGCATCATTATTCGCCGTCATGATCCTTGTTCCACCACTGCAATAAAAGAATGATCATTAACTGTGGTATTAACTTTTTGTATGCTAGTAGGAAACTCAATGGGATAATTTTGCCCATTGATAGTGATGCTTACGTTGAATCTCGATAAATATCCACAGCATTAGTGATGGCATTGTCGTTTGCTGTAATTTTTGTGCAGAATGCAACCTCTGGATGATTTAGGTACTGAACGAAGCATAAGAAAGACAAAAATCAATGTTCAGACCCACAAGGAAACTGAATATGAAGTTATCGAGTGTGCTCATATGTTTTTAACTCTCGACTTGCACACCTTGCAAATAAGTTCCCCTTGAAAACCACCGGCCACAATCAGATTCTCTTTAACCGCCATAGTGCTTATCTGTACTCTGGAAAGTGGCTGAGACATCAGTCCAGGGAGTTTCTGCACAAGCCATCAAAACTACAATCAATCAATATGTCATACAAATATCTGGAAAGGATGTCTTCACAACGAAGCACCACATACCAAAGTGGGAACTACTGGTTTAGCTACATTTAGTACTTCTTTGCTCCTTCGAAGCAATGAAGACCAGTGCAACACTGAATAGTTCTGCATTAAGTATACGTCATGCTTTGAAGTTGCCCATAACAGATTTCTCAGCTGCACAGATTCAAAAACAGAAGTTGTGGCAACATCAGTGACTGCCGAAGGATGTTTAGGAGATAAAATCTTCAAATTTAAGATAAATGAGTACGAAATAATGAATAAATAATATTCTGTGGTGTCTGCTTCAACCAACTCCAGAAAGCGAAATACTTGACTAACTTGTCAGCTGGGACACTCTAGAAACCTAATGCCATCGCTCTGTTGTGACTAACTGACTTCACTAATAAACTTCAGAATACTAAAATGTCGTCAATTCTGTGATTAATTGACAGTGCTGAATTTCACATATGAACAAGGACAACACAACTTTGAGCAAATAAACAAACAATTCACCAAATCACCCTGCAGAAGGCTGATTCCACACAGCAGGTGAAAATAAAAACCAATTGCTTGTATAGAAACAACAAGACATTATAATTATCAAGGACACCAAAAAGCTATATAAAAGAATGAAAACTAAAAGAAAAGTTCCAACAAAACATTGGAAAGAAAAAAGTGCACAAAATAAGGTAAAATTAGAGACCACAACGAT